AAGCTCCTCCATCCCAGGCAAACTGGGGCGGTCGGTCACCCTAATCTCAGGACCAGGTTTGTGTGTCAGTTGGGGTTCACCTGCATCTTGCTCTGATTAGCCTTACATTAGAATGTTCCTGGCAACCCTACGGAGCTGAACTCAAGATTCTGCCTTTACTGTGCCCTGCAGCATTGATTAATACGTTCTCTGTGTCATAAGTGGGATAAGCAGTCTTCTGAGCAAGATGCTTTCTGACCAAAAGGTGTCTCTGTAAACTGGGAATGGGCTGTTTGGACTGGGCAAATATTTGGATTAATGTATATGCCATGCCTTTAAAGGAATCCTACATGCTAAAGTATGCTATCGTAGTAAACATGCACTTTCATTTTAATGAAGGACTCGGCCAAGCCTTGTGATGACACGCTTGAGCTGGGATGCCAGGCTGCATGGGTTCACATTCTGCCTCTGTCATTTCTAAGTCTCGTGACCTTGTGCTTGTTACTCAGTCTCTCTGTGTCTTGGTTTTCCCATGTGTAAAACGGAGACAACAAGAATATCTGCCTCCCAGGGTGACGGTGAGAGAAGGCATAGGAAGTGCTGGGCACCATGCCTGGCAAACACTTAGCATCGATAAACGTCATCTTTAAGGAGGAGTCAAGGCACCTTGACCAGAGCGCTGTGTGGAACTGACTGCACTGGAGCTGCCCTGGCCATTAGCCATCAGCCACATGGGGTGAGTGAGCATCTCAAGTCTGAACTGAGATGGCTGTATTATCAAATATTCTTTGAAGATTTATTAAGAAAAAGGAATGTAAAATATCTCCTTGCCATTTGGTATATTGATTGTGTATTGAAATAATAACATTTTGAATATATTAGGTAAAATAAAATATATTATTAATTTTGCCTTTGTTTTAATATGGTGGCTAAAATTTTAGACTTATGTACATGCTTTCCATTTGTGGGTGACATTCTCTGTCCACTGAACAGTGTTGGATGAGAAGTCCGAGGCCCCAGGACAAGAAGAATGTAGGAAGGCAGGACCTGTGCTACCACTGAGAAATGCCCTGACACCACAGCCTTTGGTGCCCACACCCCATTGTGGAACCAAAACTGTGCGCTGTGGTCACACTCACCCATTCTGAACAAGAAGATCCATCCATCAGATACCAGATTGCTCCCCGGCCAGGTTGTGATCACTAGATGCTAGAAAGCAACGGCAGATCAGAATAAAGGACATCATGGAGAAGGACATTCTCCCTCCTGGGTGATGGAAACAATGCTGTTCTTTGTGCCCATAGACAGTCCCGTTGCTCCGAACTCTGGTGTGTGGGATCTCTCCACCCTCTTCAGAGAGGAGGAAGTGGGGACCCCCTAGAGGTGGGGTGCCTCCCAGCCCCTGAAGACCTCAGGGGAAAGGTGTTGGGCACGGCTTCCATCTCTTGGTGGGAGTGTGAGTCCCAAAGATACGCACTTGAGAGCATCATCTGCTCCATGGGAAAATGTAGATGAAGGACCTAAGGCTCTGAGCCTCAGTCTCCTCATCTGTAAAATGGGACCATTAGAGCAACTCAGGGTCTGGTGATGAGGACTTACTGAGACCACGTGTGTCACTTGCTTATCACAGTCTCTGGCAAACAGCAGGTGCTCTTTGGGAGTCTGATTCCCTCACTCTGTGCTTGTGAGGCTCGTCCGCACTGCTGCGTGCAGTCAAAGATGCTCGTTCTCAACACTGTGCAGCATCCCACTGTGTGAATACACCATACTTTATCCATCCTCATGTTAACGGGCATTTGGATAGTTTCACAACTGGGGCTCATAGGAATAGTGGTGCTCTGAACGTTCCAGTTCCTGTGTATTTGCGAACACGAGTACACGTCTGTGTTGGGGTTATACAGAGAGGCAACTGTGGAGTCCAAGGGTATGACTGTATTAAGTTTTAGGAGATATTAACACATAGTTTTCCAGAGTTTTGCATCAACTTATCCAATCATCAGCTGAATGGAGTTCCAGTTCCTCCACATCCTCAGCAACACTCAATATCGACAATTTCCACTGTGGCCATTCTGGCGCACATGTAATAGGAGCACTAACGGATTGTCAACTTGTACTTCACTGAAGATTAATGAGGTTGAGCACATTTTAATTTCAGTTTTATCAACGGATCCCCTCTTCTAGGAAGTGCTCATCCATGTCTATTGCCTATTTTCTCCAGTTTTCTTTGTAAACACCAGTCCTTTGTTGGATCTGTGGATTGCAGAAATCCTTTTCCATTTTGTGGCTTATCTTTCATGCTTTTAATGGTGTCTACTGATGAACAGAAGTTCTTCATTTCATAGGAGTCATTTTTTTCCTTCATGGTCAGCACCGTTGTACCCTAGTTACAGCATCTTTACATGCCCCCCAAAGTTGAGAAAACATTTTCCTTTGTTTATTCTAAGCATTTTTTGTTCTACCTTGAACAATTAGATCCACAATAAATCTGGAACTGATTTTTGGAGATGATTTTGAGGTTGGGTTAAAGATTTCCATGTAAAAAAAATTGACCCAGCATCATCTCTTGTAAAGTATGGTCTAACTTGTTTTGGTTTTACTTTCCAAGAGGAAGATATTCTAGCTGCAATTATTGTAAGTGCTTGTTGAATAACCTGCAGCAGCTAATTCATTTATTCAGCATTAAATGAGGCCCTACTCTGTGCCAAGCTCTGAGTGAGGCGCTGGGGCCTGTGGGCACTGCTCTCAAAGTTCCCAGGGGAGAGGACACATAACAAGCCACCATAGAATGGGTCTGTCCTATCCATCTCTGTATTCTCCCAGCTTTGCCAAGTGCCCAGCACATAGTAGGAGCTTAATAAATAGCCATTGTCATGGGCAACAGGACAACACTATGGTTCTGGCATCTGGACTTAGAGAAAAACTTGGTCAAATAACAGCCTGTCCTGTTATGTGCTGTGTGACTCTGAGCTGGTCACCTCACCTCTCTGAAACTCAATTTCCTCATTTGTAGGATAAGAACTGACATCACAGGGGCCTGTGGGGTTTCAGGAGCTAATCTGTGTAAAGAGACTAGCACAGGTGGAGTGCTGGTCAAGCTACAGCTATTAGAGTTAATATCGTCATCATGATGTCAACGAGCCTGGTAAACACTCCGGTCTCCACTTGCCTTCTGGAAAGTGAGAAGGACTGACCAGATGACCTCCCTGTCTCATCCATACCAGGACTCTTGGAATCAGAGATGGGCGCTGTGTTACATGGGTGTAGAGCAGCATCTAGTGGAGGAGAAGGAAAATTCACAAAGTTTCACAATGACATTTGGAAGAGAAAGTTTTAAAGGCTGAGACAAAGGTTGGCAGAGAAGCCAGGAAGGTGACCTGCATGTGCTGGTGTCCTCAGCAGGGGAGGTCAGACGAGGTCCCTTACTAGGACTCAGGACCTCTGAGTGCCTGAGTCCCAGTGCTAAAGGAGGAGGAGGCCCCTCCGTCCCCCCAGGCCTCCCTAGGTGCTGGGTCTCTGGGTCCTGTGGGCTCAGAGGCACATCTCCCATGTTCTGCCCCATCTCCTCTGTGTCAGCTAAGTGCACGGCCTCCACTGTCCCCAAGTCCCCATGCTCAGGACGCCAGGGCAGTGGAGGGCTCTGTGCCAAGGCACAGCCAAGGAGTTCTCCACACCCTGGAACACATGCAAGGGCAGCAGTGGGGCCCGCATCCCTCTGACACCAGGTCCTCGGGTTTCTGGCTCTGCTAGTCTCTGCCCTGAGGTTCCATCCCAACCACGTAGCTGAGCAGGCACAGTCACCACACTGGCCCCTCCCCCTTCCCCATCCTCCTGCCTCCCCTCTCTCCCGCCCACAGCCCTCCTCCCTCCTCCCTCCTCCTTCTGCCAAAAGATTCAGATGAAATCGGGTCTTCTCCCCTGTCCTTGTCTGCAGTGGAGATTCCAGCAGGACCACCTCCTAGAGTTGTGGGGTGACCTAGAGAAGTCGTGCAGAGCAGGAAGCGCAGGCACAGGCCCACAGCCAGCACTCGAGAAGTGGAAGCCATGACTGCATCTTCATCATCATCACCAATGAGAGGAGCAAGAGCCCACTTTTTCTGAGAAGAGCACTGGTATGTTCCTGGAAATTTCTTTGTTATGTTTGTCATTTACAGTCAAGTTTTAAGGACATAAACACATTGAAATATTGGTGTCAGGTGTGAGTTATGTTCATATGACTTTGTTAAAATACAGACAAGCAAATATAATTCTATTTGTCAGTGGAAAATATTTTAAAAATCTGTCAATCATAAATTTTACTAATATACTACTCCCAAAGGACCAAGGAGCAGGGAAGTGACATGTAGTGAGTACCCACTATTTCCAAGTGCTCACTGTACCCAGTCACTTTTGAATCCTCACCCCAGCCCTATAAATAAGGTGTTACTAGTCTCATGTGGCAGATAGAGGTTCAGAGAGGTGAAGTGACTTGCCCAGGGTCACACAGCCATGAGAGGGCCAGAACTTAAACTTGGGTCTCTCTGAGTTCAGCTCTTCACAAATCACCAAGCTGCCTCCCACTCTTAAAAACACATAGTTACTCAGCGCCCTTCAGCTAGAGACCACCAGGATCACACTTGAAGTTGACCAAGTTTGGTTTATTACTCATTGCTATGTGGGAGAACATGAACCAAAGGGAAGCATGGGATGTCTCCATAAGAGAGTGTTAGACAGAAGTTATGATTGGATTGGGTTTTCATGGGTGCTTAGGGTTAAGGTCCAAGGAAGCTCTAGATTGGGTGCTGTTAGAAAGCAGGGAAAGTTCTGTGAATGGCTATCCTACACATCTTATCTTTGGGGAGGGCAGACTAGAGATTCAACTCCAAGATCAACTCCTGAGTTATGTGTGTGGCACATGGACACAAACAGCATAAATGGCATGAAAACTGCAATGAGACTAAACTGTCGACAAAAGGCAAGATGCAACTTGCGGTGTGACCTTCACTGTGTTGATTGCTCAATAAAACAACAGAAAAAGAAAAATGAACATTCTGCAGAGGATTTTAATAGAAACCAGAATGTCACAACATCAGGAGTAAACTGTCAAGATTCCATCCAAAATTACACAACATAACACACAGAGAATAAGAAAATCTGACCATTTCTCAAGGGAAAAGACAATCAACAGATTCAGCCCTGAAATACCCTATGTGAAGGAATTATCAGACAAAGTAGCTAATATAGCCATGCTCAATGCAGCAAGGGAAAATATCCTTGAAACTAATAGAAAGAAATGTAGGGGAGGAAGACACTTTCCTCTACTGTCTAGGTTCTTCTGGCTGGTCTAAGAATTAAATTGACCTGAGACAGAATAATAGGAGAAAATCAAACAAAGTTTAATACCATGCATACATGGGAGAAACCCAGGAAAACTGAGTAACTCCCCAAAAGGGCCAAAGACACCACCTTCAATACCATCTTCAGCTAAACACAAAAGAGGATGTTGGGCGTAGTGGTTTGGGACTTCAAAGGGGTGGAAGGCAATTCACCTGGAGAGAGAAAAGCAAATTCTTGGCAAACAAATGTTTTCCATGCCATGCAGAGACAACGGGACATGGAGAGGACTCTGATCTCTAGGCCCTGACAAGTCTCCCCACCACACCTGGCCTATTTTCTTTGTAGATATCTCTGGTGATAGCTCTGTTCCTGTTACAGGCCATTTATCTAAATTCTTTTAGGTGGTTACAGGGGAAGTAAAAGAAAAATGTTCTGAGTTTTCTGTTTCTTAAAGAATATCAACATAAAATAATCAACATCCCAAAGAGACATATTGTGGGGTGGCAAATTCTGTTCCCCTTCCATCCTGCCTTTGAAACCTCAAATAAAAAGATTCAGAGTCCAGAACCTAAGTTGATAGATTTCTCCATAGTTCTCTGAACCAGTCATTCAGTCCTGAGAATAGCTCAGTTCAGTTAAACAGTTTTGCCTCATTTCAGGAGGTGGTGATGCAGGTGGTCTCCCAAAGTTGGGCCTATATTGTGTAAGCAAGCAATCAGGTATTTAAAAAGAGGCATTTCTATGGAAACAAAAACAAAACTAAAAGGTAATGTTTGGAGGAGACTATAAACCCAGTCTTAGTCTGGAGAGCAGCCAGTCAAGAGAAGATTCCTAGATGTAGGGGTTGAAGCATCTTTTCCAGTTTGAAATGTCTCTGATGATGTCATCAGGTGTTCAGGTAACTTTCTGAGTGGCTTACACAGCAACAAGCATGAAGATTGTTTAAACATGCGCTATTGTGGCAATCTCTCTTAAGTTGATAATAAGTCTCACAGCTTCAGTTTACAGGGCTTCAGGAAAAGGGCAGCTTTAGTTCTCAATGATTCTAAGTCAAAAGTGGGAGAAAAATTGGAAATGTTAGTTTGGAGAGTTGTAGCAAAATATTTCAGGAAACTAGAAGAATTCAGGGCCCAGTCCAGTTTACAGGTGGAAAACAAAGTAGAATCTAACATCCACAAGTGTATATTATAGTTTCTACTGCAACATAACTTTTCTCCCTCATTCCTACCAAAGATAGCCAAATTAAGATTAATTTGTTTCCAAAATGAGTCTAGTTTCAATAAACTTGACCCAATTACTTACATAAGTAACAAGAATAGCAAATGATCATACGGGCTCTTTTAAATCTGCTTTGCTGGAACTTTTCATAATGAATCTCAGAATGGACTTTCAATAGCCTCTCAACAACAGGAAACCATCCCAAGGACTTGCCATCAGACTCTGCCTGCAATACCTACAGATTTGGGGGAATCCTTCTTGTCTTGAGATCTCCAAAATATCCTGAGGTTTCACACCTCCCAGGAAGTGACCTTCTTTACTCACCTGGTAAGGTTGTTGGGAACCCTGTAGCAAGGTACCAGGCAAATATTTCCAAGGGGATTTATTTTGTTCCATAAAGTCAACCTTTGCTCCTTAGAGTTGTCTGGTCACATCTGAATCTATGCATGTCTCTCTCAGATAAGACATTCCAGTCAAAGCCTTGGTAATATTGCCCAAGTTTCCAATTATGTCCTGTTATAAAGAGGACAGATTCTTATTGAACTTATGCAAATAACTATATTGCCATGAAAATAAGAATACTCACTCTCTAAGAGTTTCCAAATTCTGGAGGGATAAGGTAGGGAGAAAAAGATAAATGTTTCAGTTCTGCTTACAAAGATATAATTTATTGAACTGCTGTAGGTGATAGGTAGCTTAGGAGAAAAGAGGAAAAGGTTTTAAAAAACAGCAATGCTTGAAACAGTCATAAAAATTACAATCATCCTCATCAGTTCATTCAGTCCCATGTAATCAATTCCTGGTCTTGATATTTTATCAGTCTTATGAAGCCATCAGTTTCTCTGCTAGAGTTCTGTAAATTATTACCCAGTTCAATTTTATGATCTGAAAGTTTATTAGAAACCTGTATTCTAGAGTAAGTGTCAAAGTCTTTTCCATGAATCTCTCTGAAGATGAAACATATTTGCAAAAGCATCAGAGTAAAACAGTAACTGCCTGTAAGTGACAAAAGACTTAACAATGGCATGGTTAAAGATTTGATTACAACACAACTGACAAGGGAATTTGGTTATTTCTGTGATACATAACATTTTAAGATAGTAACTAGAATTATGACTGATAACATTATACAAGGACATCTTAGGTTTTTAAAATCTCACACAATTCTAGACCATTTATTTTAATAACGTGTGCATACAAGGATATCCATAAAGGAGGTTTAGCATCATTCATTTGACAATGCTTCCCAAGCAATTTAACATACAAAACAAGCCTAATTGGTTTAACAAAACTTTGGAATTTTCCAGAGGCCTTCTGGAAAAATCCAGTTTCTTCCAAGTCAAAAGGACTTCATTTTTACAACGTGATTTTGGAAGTTTGTTAAAGATATCAAAGGATTGGACACTTGACTAAATAGGATCACAGATTAATATGAAACAACACTTAATTATCTATTTAATCAAAGTGACAATAGAAGATGTTAAAGGCAAATACAGAAAGTTACATCATTGGAAAAAACCTTAGCTCTCTTAATGGAGAGGTCTCAGCTTTTTGAACATAGGAAATTATTTTGATAAAACATAAAATCCCTGCTTTTTAGGTAGACTACTCAAGGGTAAAGAATAACCTTTCACAATCTCTTTATCAAGAGCAGACCAAAGTCCAAGAAAACTGTTCTTTTAAGAGAGAGAAAAACAAATTTCAATTTTGCACCAGCTTACTTTTGATATTAAAACTGATTTACTTAACATTCATCCCAATCTTAGCCAGCTTGACCATGCATAAAACCTTTTTTCTCAACGTTCCTTTTCCACAAATCTTCTGTAACTTCTTGTTTTATATTCAGACTTTGTCCTATACTTCCTCTCTCTTTTTTCCTTAACAAAATGCATTTCCATTCCATATATATATATATAATTTTTTCACTGAAAACACACATTTTATTTTCCTTGCATATTAAACTGTTTCCCTTATTATTTTAGCAATTTTAATTAAATATATTAATTAATATTTTAACCCTTAGAAACCTTAATTTCTACTGAAAAATAAATATGTAAAAATTAAATATTATTCTATTCTATTTCTGAAAGTATGCTCAATTTATATAGTGCTGGTCTGTTTTTAAGCCAATTAAATAGAGCTCTCTTATAAACTAGTCTTGATAATACCATCCAGAGGTAGAAAAGTATCATATATTTACAACATACATATATGAACACACATATAAACACATAGACAGATGCAAATCTTATAGCCTGTTTTAAATTTTCCTTAGATTTATGGGCAAGGGTGCTTCTATAGCAGTCTTCATCTCCAAAAGTTTCTTCTCTCCTTTTTTCCCCTTCAGTCTTAGGAATTGAAGAGAGTGTAGGTAAGAGTTCCTGGAGAGGTTACAAGCCTTTTGAGATAAATAGGGGAGGTTTGGGGATTGGTGAAAGGGAATGGGTGGAATCTGAATTGCCTTTAGAGATGCATTTCCAGTTTTGCAAAGACTTGTAAGATATGGACAGCTGCTCTCAATTCTTCAGAAATTTGCAAAGACATCACAGGTTCATCTGTCTGTCCAATTACATTATCCCTAATTTATTTCTTTCCCTCTGGGCACATAGTTTTCTTTTAAATTAGGGAAGAAGACCTATAAAAAGATTCCTACCAGGCTCTGATTATTAGCTTCCAATTTTTTGATTTGATTTTTGTTTCCTTTTTATCTCCAAAGGCCCCCGGCACATAGTTGTATATTCTTTGTTGTGGGTCCTTCTAGTTGTGGCATGTGGGATGCTGCCTCAGCGTGGTTTGATGAGCAGTGCCATGTCCGTGCCCAGGATTTGAACCAATGAAACACTGGGCTGCCTGCAGCGGAGCACGCGAACTTAACCACTCAGCCATGCGGCCAGCCCTATCAGCTTCCAATTTTTGATCATAGAGCTATTTTTAAAAAAAAATCCTTCTAAATATCTTTCCAGTTTTCAGCTGGGACAAGCAGTAAACGTCTCTGGTGTTACTAAGCAACTCTATGGACCCCAAGAGGTGTCCTCAAAAGTTATTATCTTCTCAAGATCCAGAGTCACTCCCAAAAGAAAAAACCGATAGCCTGCATGTTGCAGGCAGGCAGAAAGCTAAGCCAAGCTCTTAGGACACAAAACGAGACAAACAAGGAGGTAATAGTTATCCCTGGGAGAGAAAGGGTCAATAACCAACAGGTCTGGACTTGTAAAGAAAGGGAAAACATGAAATTTTATCCTCCTCTCTTGACTGAGCATTATAGGAGGCCATCAAGTACAGGTAAGAAGGCTGTTGTCCAGGGACGTGAATTCCCGGGAGGGGGTTCTAGGATGCATCTGCAAAGGATATTGCATAGAAAGGCCTGAAGCTGGCGGAGCCTGGTTTATAGAGACCAACAAAGCAAGCTTTACTGTGTGTCCCAGGTGCTTCTGCTAAATTCATTTTCTGGCTTGTTGCACTTACATGAGTAATCTGTATACTCTTAGAGATTAGGCTGCAGTGCTTTCTGTAAGCCTTGCAGGAAAAAGAAAAGCTAAAACAGGCAGATGGGGCCAGATTTTAAGACAGTGTTTTTATGGTGGATTTTTGTTTTACATCCTAAATTTCTGTTCTTTCATCTTGTTAGAGAGTCCCTAAGTCTAGCTGTTATTTTCTTCTTCTTCTTTCTTCTTTCTCCTTCTCCTTCTTTTTCTTCAGTGTCTGGCAACTGCACTTCCAGTGTCCTGATTTTTTACAATATCTGTGAATGTCTAAAGGCAGATAGGAAGGGTTCGGGGGTCAGAGTCGACTCTGATTTGTATTCCAGTTTCTGTCCTTCCATCTTATTAAAGGCATCTTAATGGCTAAGCATTATACCAATATGAGAGCTCTCTAAAAATATTCTTTTCAACCTAGAAGTTTTTCCAATTTAAAGGATCCATCATCTGGCCATTGATGAGTGGGATCTTAATAGCAACTCAAATCAATAAGACTTTTTATGGCTTAACCATGGTCGCAAGAAGCATCCCCAAAGGAGAATGCAAAGGATGCAGCCCTCCCAAGATCCAGAGAGTTCACTACCAGAGTTAGCCTAATAACTATGAGGGGCCTGTCTTTAAATAGCCATTCCAAAACACAGGGAATCACGTATTTCTCCCTGTGTTGAACAGAATAGGGTGACTCAAAATTTCACCCAGTTTAGATTCCCTAAGCTCAGATCCACAGCCTACTCCACTGTCTGAACGATGCATGTGCATCCTCCAGCTGGTAGAGACAAAAGACCATCTCTGGGAGGAACAAGATCAACAAAATCAAGAGCACTGGTCCCAAATCTTTACTAGAATCATTTTTTCCCAAGAAGCTAATTTTACAAATATTTTCTCCAGCTGACCTAAATTTAGAAAAGGAAATAAACCTCACCACTCTGACTTCCATTAGACCTGCAGGCAGAGACCTAGGAGACGGATGTGGTAGGAACTCTTACCTCCTGCCAGCTCTTGTCAGGGTCCAAGATCTGTCAGCTGCCATAGCCCCTGGGCAAGAAGCATCCAGCAAGTTAAGTTGGTCCCGCCGGAGTCACCAACTGTAGGTGAGGAAGACCACTCCTCTACCCTTCTATGTTCTTCTGGCTGGTCTAAGGATTAAGTTGACATGAGACAGATCAACAGGAGAAAATCAAACAAAGTTTAATACCATGTATACATGGGAGAGACCCAGGAAAACTGAGTAACTCCCCAAAAGGGCCAAAGACAACACCTTAAATATCATCTTCAGCTAAACACAAAAGAGGATGTTGGGCATAGTGGTTTGGGACTTCAAAGGGGCGGAAGGCAATTCACCTGGAAATAGAAAAGCAAATGTTTGGCAAACAAATGTCTGTCACGCCATGCAGAGACAATGGGACATGGAGAGGACTCTGATCTCTAGGCCCTGCCCAGTTTCCTCACCACACCTGGCCCAGATTCTTTGTAGGTCTCTCTGGTGATAGCTGTGTTCCTGTTACAGGCCGTTTATCTAAATTATTTTAGACAGTTAAGATGAAGGTAAAAGAAAAGATTTTCTATTAAAAATAATCAACCTAGAATAATCAATATCCCAAAGAAGTAGATTTTGGAGTGGTAAACGCTGTTCTCCTTCAGAAATAAGTTCTCAGTAGAGAAATGCAAAGCACACAAAAGCAGCAAATGGGAGTTTTTGAACCTAACATTCAATAACCAAAATCAAAACTCACTGGATGGGCTCAGTACCAGGATGGAGAAAACAGAGGAAAGAGTCATGAACTTAAAGACAGAGCATTAGAAATGGGACAATCTAAAGAACACAGAGAAAAAAATGACCAAAACTCACAGGGTCACAGAGACATGTAGGACAATCAGAAGTTCTAATTTCCATGCCATTGGAGTTCCTGGAGGAGGGTGCAGAGGAAAACACAGGAGAGGAAAATGGTTGAAAACCTCACAAATTTGTGAAACACACATCAAAGAAGCTTACAAAACCCTCCATCTGACACATCATTATCAATCTGCTAAAAATCAAAGACGAAGAAAAATCTTGAAAGCAGAGAAAAATGACACATTACATAGAAAAAAATACCAATTCCAAAGCTTGTGATTTCCTATCAGAAAACAGAGGCCAGAAGAGATTGGAACAACATCTTAAAAAACTGAAAGAAAAGATCTATCAACCCAGGATACTATGTTCAGCAAAGATATCCTTAAAGATTGAGGCAAAACAAAAATGAAAACAAAACCAAGGCTGATGAGGATGAAAGGAAACCAGAAGCGTTCCTCACTGAGTAACTAGACACAAATGATGGGAAAGGAGCCTCTTGAGGCTGCAGTGAGAGGACCCCAGAGGGAAGCTGGGAACTTCAGGAACAAAGGAAGAGCCATGGAAGAGGGAGGACCCGGACAAAGGAGACAGCGAATTTTCTCCATTGAAAGCCTTTTTTTCTTTGAATTTTTTTCAATTATTTTATTGAGGTCATAATGGTTCACAACATTGTGTAATTTCAGGTGTACATTATTATTTATCAGTTTTTGTATAGATTGCATTGTGCTCACCACCAATAGTCTGATTTTTATCTGTCACCATATATATGTGCCCTTTTACCCCTTTCGCCCACCCCCCAACTCCTTCCCCCTCCAGTAACCACTAATCTGTTCTCTTTATTCCATATGTTTATCTTCCACATATGCCTGAAATCATGCAGTGTTTGTCTTTGTCTGGCTTATTTTACTTAACATCATACACTCAAGGTCCATCCATGTTGTTGCAAATCATCTGTTGATAGGCACTTGGGTTGCTTCCATGTCTTGGCTGTTGTGAATAGTGCTGTGATGAACATAGGGGTGCATGAATCTCTTTGAATTGTTGATTTCAAATTCTTTGGATAAATATCCAGTAGTGGGAGAGCTGGATCATATGGTATTTCTATTTTTAATTTTTTGAGAAATTTCCATATTGTTTTCCATAGTGGCTGCACCAGTTTGCATTCCCACCAGCAGTGTATGAGGGTTCCCTTTTCTCCACATCCCCTCCAACATGTGTTATTTTTTGTCTTGGTAATTATAGTCATTCTAATGGGTATAAAGTGATACCTCATTGTAGTTTTGATTTGCATTTCCCTAGTAATTAGTGATGTTGAACATCTTTTCATGTGCCTGTTGGCCATCGGTATATCTTCTTTGGAAAAATGTCTGTTTAGATCCTCTGCCCATTTTTTGAAAGTCTTTTAAGACATGTATGACTTTCAAAGGAACAAATTCTACCACCGTCTCAGAGGGCAGGTTCAGTTCATGTTGATGGGATCCATACACAACTCTAACATAAAGAGCAGAGAGCAGAAGAACCTATATTGCTGGAAACCGTCTACATTTTACTTTTCTCAAAGCAAAAATTGCACCGAACCAAGTTAAATAGGCAAGGACCTTGTTATTCCAGACTACTGCCATAAGGGAGGAAAGCCAGAACTCAGTCTGAGCTCAACGTCACTGAAGCAAAAGGCAGGAGAGTGTGTATGTGCTGGGATGAAGCTGATCTCTGGGGTGTGCAGCACAGGGAGTCATTCCTGAGGCGGTGGTCTTCCTCTGTGATGAAGGCATGTGTGATCTTCAGGACCCATCAGAGTTAAGCTCCTGCCCTCCCACGGAGACAGGGAGATGGGGCACAATCTCCCTTGATGATTTTTACTGAGCCCTTGAGAAAAACATTCCTGGGTTGTAAAACCGGCCAGAAGCTTTTTAAATATTTACATCTCAAAGGTACAGAAAAAGAATTTACAACAAATTCTTTTTAAGTAAATGCTTTTAGAAAAGGGAGGGCAGTACCTAGAGCCAGGAAGACTTCTGTCTAAAGTTGAGTCAAGCTGAGCCCAACCTTAAGGTCATCATGGTCACTAGAATTGGCAAAATATTAACTCTAATTAGACCATGAAATGATTAGTATCATTAGTTATTCCCAGAACACAATTAAAAAATAATTAAAACTTATGAATGAAAAATGGGAAAACATCAATAGTCCTATACAGTGTTTAGGAAATATGAACAAAGCAACCAAAAACATTCACATACAGGTTTTTAAACATAAGTTTCATTTCTCTTGGTTAACTTCTCAACACTGGATGGCTGGGTCCCAGCTTGCCCTGGCTGCCACTTCACAGGTCACCCCTGCCTTCAGGATCTGGGTGGCACGGGCACTTCTCTTCTTAGCAGCTCTGCCCTCCAGTGTTCCCAGCGCAAAGGGCAGGAGGACCCACAGGCACGGATCCCAAAGCTGCCACCTCATGCAACCTGCTCCTCAGCAGTTCCCCCTCTGCTGGATGGGGAACCTCGTCCCCTACAGTTAGTTCCCCGACAGCTCTGGGATCTGGCCAGGGCACAATGGGCCACTGTCCTGACAACAAGCTCATCAACCTCAAGGCAAACACCTTGAACCCTCAGACCCTCAGGGGTCAGTGTGGATCCCCACCTTTGCTTGCCCCAGGTCCTCCCACGTCCTCTGCACACGCGCCGTCCCTCCAGATTCTTTGCCTGCGCCCCTGCCTCGCAGGCCCCATGGACGTGCGCCCATTCTTCCTTCAGACATTCCAAAGCTGCATCTTAGCAACAGGCCAAAGGTGCCCACTTCGCCTTTGGCCCAGTAGGCAGCTGAAGGAGAAGCTCTGAGCCCAGCTCTCTATCGAGGGACAGACTTCACTCAACTGCTCTATGGGTGGTTACCTGGGCAGGCTTTGCCCCACATCCCCGCCTGGGGCAGTGGGGGGCCAGCACCTGCCAAGAGGGCTCCACTGCCTCCAACCTGCTCACCAGGCCCCCCAAATTCCCGTGGCTGGCCAGGGTCACCCACCTGTCCATGCCCCTGGGTCAACTCGCAGACCATCCGACAAGTATGCAATGCATCTTCGCCTTGGCATAGCAACTCCCAGACCATATGCCATGATCCAGCAGACCCTGTGCTCCTTTATAGGGGTCCTTACCTCTATTGGCAGGCCTGGCCATCAGAGGGAGGCAGTGCTGTCTTCCCTCACCTCCAAGATGTCCTACAGCTCAGCGTCTGCAGTGGGCAAAGTCACTGTGTGTGTACAGGAGCAGGAGTCACCCTTATGATGCCCACAACACCCACGTGTTCCCAAGACACCTGCATGGAGGAGATCCCACTGAGGACCCTGGGAGAGAGTAGGAAAGAGATGGAATCAGGAGGAAGACCCCACAGTCATAGAGAGGCAGCATGATCAAGGAAGGGACCCTGATGGCACTGGGGGTGCACTGCCTGCGTTCAGGCCCCTGGGGGTCCACGGAGGCCTCTCTTCCTTTGTGCCCAGGCCCAGGCCTCTGCAGAGAAATGTACACACCATGAGCTCAGAAGGCGAATGCATCCAGAAATCCCAGACCTTGTGTATGAGCTCTGGCCCCAGACGAAACGCTATCACGAGCTCATACAGCTCCTCCCAAGGGTTCCCGCCAGTGCAGAGGAGGAAGAGGAGGAGAGGTCCAGCCACATCCCCACAGCCCCACACCTGGCTGTCCCAGATGTCCTCTAAGAAGGTGAGCAAGGAGGCCCTGGGTCTCCCTCTGCAGCCTCAGTGCTTTCCCTGAGGAAGACCCAGTGTGGGAAGGACGCAGAGGCAACAACAGGGCAGACACAAACCCAGAGGAATGGCTGGACACTTCCAGGCCCTGAAAACGCCAGACTCCTCTGCTGCCACACAGGCAAGGGGTCCCTCGGAGGCTGCCGGCACCCCCAGAGCTGGGATTTCGAGTCACTGTGGAAGACCTGGGCTTGAAGAAGTAAGCAGCACTGTGGGCCATCGACAGTGCCCTGCAGGGTGACACTCAGGCCATCAGGGCCTGTGGCCCCACACGGCCTTCCTGTTCTGTCCCCGCGCCTGCTGCAGGGACTGCTCCTCCACCAGCTGGCCCTCCCATCACTGATCCTAGTGCCCCTCCCTCCACCGGCCTGCCAGTCACTTCTGCTGGCAGCTCCAGCCCCTCAACCAGCACATCTGCAGGCCTGGCTCCCCAGCCAGCTTCTGACACTGTCACCTCCATAGACACTGCTCCAGCTCCCCAGCCTTTCCTCTTGGGGTCTGCCTCTGGCTCCAGTGGGAGCATCTTCCCATCTTCCCAGGCCCTCCAGATGTCCCCCAGTGACAGTGTGGACTCAGTCACCGCCAGCCTGTCTGCACTGAGGTTCTGCAGCCTGAGCCCAACTCCCAAACTTCCTGTGAACTCTGGAGCCACTGCCCAGCCCAGCTCTGGGGCCCCTGATGCGCAGCAGCACAGGGCCACCACCGTACACAGCCCTCTTCAGGATGGATGACTGGCAGTTCCAGCCCCAGGCTGGGCCCCAACCTCTGCTCCAGGCCAGCCAGCCTCGGGCAGCACCACACGGGAAGCGTTTGGGGGTGTCTTACTCTCACCTTCCATCTTGGGTACCCATACCAGCACCTGGCCAGGCTTCGCTGCCACCCCAGCTGTCTTCCCCTCTGGCACAGCACTCACCCCTGGCTTTGCAGCTGCCCCACATGGCCAGTGCTGTGACAAACGCTGGGCGCCACATTAGGTAGCACTGCTCACCATGTGGCAGCACAAGCCCAGCCCCCTTCAGGTCAGGGGTCTCAGCAGCACCTATGGCCTTTGGGGGCAGAGAGGCTGTCTCAGATCTGAGCTGTTCCTTTGCAGCACTCAGCATTGCAGCACAGACAAGCGGGGCTCCAAACACCGCACACTGCTATGGGGGCAGCTTGGGCCCAAACACCTGGGGCCCCCTCCCCAGAGCACCCCCACGGTGACCACAGGACCCAGCTCGAAGAAGAACTCTGGTTTTGGAGGTGCTACTGCCCCATTCTTAAGTCACATCCCCGGGGCCCACCCAGGCAGAGCCCTCCTACTTCCAGCTGATGGCCCAGCACCACCACCAGCAAGGTGCCTTGAGGGGTGCATCCGTCCCCACCTCCACTCCAGGCAGCCCAGCCTCTGCGGGGGGCACAGCGAGGAGCAGCCTTGCCATCAGGGCCCCATCACCTGTCCAGGGAATGGTTGGACAGAAAACTTTTCAGCCATCAACCAAGTCGTTTTCCTCCAGGTCGGGATTCACTCCCTTGGGGTCTAAGAGGCGAATGCTGGCCTGAGCGAACTGCTTCCTGGAGAAGTAGCCAGTGTCCCCCGTCCTCCTGCGCTGACTGTGTGTGCACCTGTTCAGATGGGAAACCAAGTCTATCCCTGACCTCTGTGACCCTGCAGCAAACTGGGTGCCAGAGACACGGCATTCTATTCCCACCCCCGCCCTGCAGCTCTTCCCAAAGGCGGGTGGTCCGAGGCTGTTGTCCATCCTGGTGGCCAGAGACCTCAGGACAGTAGATAGAGGCATGCGGCCAATTTCCCTCCCATCCTGGAGCGGTGGGGATGCCCCCTCCTGCTTGTGGTTGACCACTCCCCTCTCCCATCTTCCTCGCTGAACCCTCATGTCTTCCCCATAACTTACAACAAAGCCTTGTTCCTGTTCATTTGCATAAGTCTGCTGCTTCTGTCTCTGGAGACCAAGTGTGGAAAAGCACCTCTCTGTGCATGGTGACACAGGAAGCCACACCTAACTGTGTACAGGTTCCTGTGGCCCAGCTATTGGGGTGTGGGGAGGACACTACTTGATGGCTACAAGGGCTGACACCCAAATGTTAAAGGGGTGTATTGAGTTGAAACGATGCAGCCTGGGATAACAGGGGCCCAGGGGAGGCACAGACAGGGAGGCTCATCCTTGCTGGTGGAATGGCCGCTCCCCCTCCTCTCTGACCTGGAGTGGGCTGGTCACTCCTAGTGGACACCAGGAGTCCACACCGACACGTTTAGCCTTTTCCAATGGAGCAATTTCTTTTGGACCATTTGCTTTTCAAGTCCCGGGCTAATCACCTACCACATGTCTCAGCTGGAGGGCGTGGGCCTGGCATTCATGCTTCTGGACCTGAACACATATGGAGCCTTAATTCTAGGATGCAACACAACCCTGAGCAATTCGTGACATCTTCTTTATAGAAGCAGAAGGACTCCCTGAAGCCATCTCTTCCTTTTTCCAAAAACAGAGACGAAAGGGAACTATCTGCAGAGGAAACAACTAAAATTAGTCACTTTAATTATAGAAGAGTAAAAGACTTCCAGTTTGTGGTCTGATACGCACGCAGCTTAGAGACCGTCACTCCTGCAGTCACGACAAGAGAAAAACTGAACAAACTGAAATGCAGCAATTCTTCTTAAACCTATCAGAGAATTGAGGTCATAGAGCAAATATCACCACCGAAACTGGAGAGACAGGCGAACCCAGAGAATCACGGCGGAATGGAGCAGAGGCCTCTGCTGGAGGCAGGATCTGGGCAGCAAAACTGGGACTGTAGCTGATGGGTTTCTCGAGGCTCCGTGTGGACCAGCCTGAGAGTTAAACACCTCAGGGGGCCATGTTATGGGGCCTCCACACTTTCCTGAGTTTTCTCTCCAGTAGCGCCACCACATTCTCAGGGTGAAGAACTAAGAAATGTCCCTCATGCTTCCTGCAGAGACAAAGAAAAGAACCATTTTGGGACACACCCAGCACAGCCTGTTGTCCTCAAGAACGCCTTCCCTCGAGGGAACGGTGTCACCAGAGCCACCACCTCAGCTTCCACCAGAGCATCGCTGGCCTGGGGGAAAGGAAATACGTAGTCTAGGCCCTCGAGTTTTCCATGGGGATGAGGGGAAATACCCAACTCCAGCTCCCTCGAGCATTCTCTCGCCTGATGGGGAAAAACCTGAGAAGCACTTGTAAAGGCCAAATCCAGGGACACAGGCTCACGAAAAGTCAGACCTGCTGGCAAAGTATACAACAGACACAGCAGAACAGAACCACTCTGTGAGGGAACCAAGCACACTGGCTGAAAACCCAACCAAGAGTGGGGACTGTCATTACCGGTCCCCCAAATGACCTGTTGTACAATCTGACCTCCGACATTGCCCCTGAGGGGTCATTTTATCAATGGACATGCACGTGAGCACTGCATGCTTCAAGCTCTGGAACAGCAAGATGGCCACTGGCACACACATATCAGGAACCGGCCTCGGTCCTGCTACCTGGCAGGTGCCCCCGTGCCAACTAGCATGTGTACCTTGATCTGCCTGAAGCCCTAGGAGACATTTTCAGTGGAGGTGAAAACTTTAATGATGGGGCAGGAGATGAAGTCCAGCAGGAGCCCTGGCAGGCCAAGAGGGAACACTGAGTTGATCCCAGCTCTGCCCGGTCACAGATGAGAGGTGGTGTGGGTGGGATTGTGGCTAAGAACTAGTGGGCAACACCAGCCCTGTTTGGACTAGTCTGGAGAGCAGGAAAGGGAGGCCAGGGTCTGAGGCCTGGGCACTTCTCCAAGTGTCCTGGCCTTTAAGCAGAATGGGGTAGGGCTTAGGGCTGAGGACACTGCCCCATCCCCCATCACACACACACACAGGGACAGCCCTTAGAATGCAAAGAAGGAAATGCTGCAGGCAGGGAGATCCCCAGGAGGCAGGTGCCTCGGGAACCCAGGAAGAGCAGAAACGCAGGCCCCACCTCAGCAGGAAAAGAGTCTCACCCAAGCCCAGGAGCCCCATGGCCAACTGCATGCAGCCCCACAGGAAGGCCAGCAGCACAGCACAGGGGGGGGTCACGGAAGGTGTAGAAGGAGACCAGGAGGGACATGATGGCCACGGGGCCCAGAGTCACATCCCGGGAGGTGCCAGGAAGAACTATATGAAGCACCCCTGAAGGCAGAGTGGAGGCCAGACTGCTGGGGAGAGAGAGCGATGAGCACCCAGGAGACACACGGCACACCCACGGTGTCCCTGGTGTAGACGTCTGAGCACAGGATCTGTGTGTCTTTTGGGTACTTTGGGCACACCATCACACACAGGCAGAGTACACGCTCACCCTCCATCATCCATGGGTGTGACCTCCAGTGATCAGGGGACCTCTTTTCCACCCGCACCCAACTCCGGCCTCCGGTGGCACCTGTGGGGGCACAAAGGCCTGTGTGCCTCTGTGCGAGTGTGTGAGTCTGAGAAAGCATTCTTAAGGCTACAGTGAGTCATCCTGCTGTCCCACCACACAATCCAGAACTAGCCCTGTGTCTGTGTGTGACAAGTGTGACAAGAGCATGCACAAGGGCATGTGTCTGCCCAAAGGCAGTCACAGGTCTAGATTGTAGACCAAGGCTTCTTGGGCCCCATGGGGCTGGATCACTGAGTGCCCCACTGTCTGCAGGGGATACTGTGCATTTCTGCTCTGCTTCTGGGAGAGGAGAGGCCCAGAGTGGGGTAGGCCATCAGGAGAGGACAGACATGTCACCTTGGGCGGAAATCAGGCCACTTCAGCATAGGCCAGCACCTGGGGAATGACCATGAGCCTAACCGAGAGCCCAGCGATGAAGTCTGTCTTCAGATACTGTGGAGAGTAGTTGGGCAGCCCGCCCTGGATGGGTGGACTTCTCCACATGTAGGGGAGCAGCAGCGGGCCCATGGGGCCATGCCAGCGCCCTGGGGCCTGGCCTGAGCCAGCACCTTCACAGAAGAGGGAAGACCTTGGGTGGGCATGGGGGCGATACAGAGAAGCAGTCAGGGTCCTGGGTTTGGGGAACTCAGCTATAGGGCGGGGGTCCAGGAGCATCAGGAGAGGCACAGCCTGTCTCCCCTCCAGGGGGTCTGAGCCAGATGGTTAAATCCGCCCCCCCCCCACCTTGCTGGTCTGAGAGGGGAAGCCAACAACCTGTGCAGGGGGGGCCTCAACCAAAGGTGGATGCCCCCCCCACTGCTCACTGCTCTCCCTGAATCCCACCTGCCCAAACCCTCGGCGCCTTCTCCCCCTCCATCCACGCTGGCTCTGAAGAATAGGATAAAGGATTTCTCAGTGAGAAGGCAAAAGGCTAATTAGACTCAAGGATTCTCCTCCAGGAGAATTTGGGTTTTTTGCTCCCCAGGGAATTCAAAGTGCAGCAGTACAGAGAGAAACAAGTTCCCCATGGGACCCTCGCCTGGCTGGTGGGGTGTGGGTGAGGGGACTGGAGGCCCCCAGGGCCCAGAGGCCCTCTAAGCGCGCACCATGGGCCGATCCCGTCCCCCCTCCCCCCCCAACTAAAGCCAACTGCAGCGCTGGAGGGGGCGTCTCCCATCCTGAGGCTGTGCCTGACGCCACCCCCGACCTGTGGCATTCGCAACCCTAGAAGGACCCCAGGGGTTCTAGTTGGTTCTGGGGGAAGGTCAGAGGCTCCGTCATTAATCGAGGGCGCTGCATTCTTTGGAATCCAGGCGCCACCTGCCGCAGAACTGGCCCCAGACCGCCCCTCACCCCGGGCCCCGCGAGCCTGCTCTGGGCAGGACCCAGGTCTCACCCCCGAAGCGGCTTGCCCTGAACCCTGGGGTCTAAACGTGGGGACCCCACGCCAGCTAACGGTCCGCGCTCCCCCGGGCTCAGTGGGGCCGAGGGCGGCGGGGACCTGGGAGGGGAGGCGGTGGATGAGGAACGGAGGTCCCCGCGCCGCCCCTGCGCCGGCCGCGCCTCGCGTCCTGGCGACCCTGGCCGGTCCCCGGCAGCTCGCCCTCCTCGCTGCCTGCCACCCGCCGCGGACTCACCCGGCGCCGCGGCTAGGGGTCTGCATCCGTCACTACCGCAGGGGCCCCAGGAACAGCACAGGCAGGGCAGCGAGGGGCGGGGCCCGGAGGGCGGGGGCGGGGCCTGAGCGCTCCAGAGCTGGGGCTGGGCCTGGCGCGAACCTGACAGTGCGGCGGGGACAGGATCAGGACTGCAGGCAGGTGCCGCCTGGAGCCGCCCTGCTGGGCGCTACTGCTGGGCCTGGGGCTCTGCTGGGTGCGGACCCGAACATACTGCTGATCCTCAGTGAGTGCGCCCTCGTGGACTGGCTGCCACCCTGGGCATTGCCCTCCACGGCCGCCTGCTGTCCGCCCACAAGGTGATCTGATCTCTCGCCTCTCCCCGCTAACGTCAGTGCTGACGCTAGCGTGCCCTCCAGCGCCCACTGCCATTCTCTGTTCCTCTCCCCTCTCTGCTGCCCCCAGACTCTTCGTGGTCAGCTGGCTCCTTGGAGAGAGAGGCAGGGGCGGCCTTGCCCACTGCAGGTCTACAGAGATCCAGCAAACCACTCCTGCTCTAGTTCTCACCTTGCGCCCCAATCCGTGCCCACAGCAGCCTGGGCTAACCCTGCGGGCCCCCAGCTCAGGAGACTGGGTGGCTTTCCAGAGCTCAAGGATCCCAGAGGGGATGCCAGAAGAGGGGCTGGTGCCCAAGTCCCCAGAGACCAGCCAGCGTGCCCTGGGGCTCTCATCTCCTCCTCACGGTTTTCTCCGACCGCAGAGCACTGTGGCTCGGCTCTCCTTCTCCTGGCTGAAGGGCACAGCCCCCCACATCCACCTGCCCTCTCCCCCAACCCCATCCCCTCCCAGGAACCCCAGGTGCCTCCAGCGCCCTGCTGGTCAGGAGACTTCCAGGTTGGTGACCCGGGCCCGGCTGTCACAAGGCAAGCCGATTCTTTCCTCTTTGGAGGTCTGGCCCTTTGCCGGGTTCTCTCTTTCTGATGAACTTTGTGGTCTTGGATCAGGCCCTTCAGCTAATTGTACCATAAACAGCTCTCCACTGAGGGGCGCCCATCAACTCCCCCTCTCCCAGGAACAGGGCAGAGAATCTGCATGTCCACCTCCTGCCAGGGCTGGGATTACAGCTGGAACCTTCCGGAGCCCAGATGATGTAGCCCCTAGGTCAGGTCCTTTCTTGGTCAGCCAGGGCTGCTGTAACAAATCCCATAGACTGGGGGGCTTCAACTACAGGTGTTTATTTCTCACAGTTCTGGAGGCTGGAAGTCCAAGATCAGGGTCAGAAAGGTCAGTTGCTGGTAAGGATTCTCTGCCTGGCTCGCAGATGGCCACCTTCTCGCTGTGTCCTCACATGGTAGAGAGACATCTCTCTCCCTTCCTCTTTTTATAGGGCCACAATCCTATCGAATTAGGGCCCCACACTTATGACCTCATTTAGCCTTAAGTAAAGACCTTATCTCCAGATACAGTCACATTGGGGGTTAGGGCTTCCCCTCATGGATTTGGGGGTGCACAGTTCCTTCCATGGCAGGTGCACAGCCAAGTGCTGAGACCCTCTGAGCAGGTCTGGAGAAGCGTGGCTTTGCCTCCTGGCCCATGGGCAGGATGCATGTCAGACAGGAGTTATCCCGCACTCCTGTCTGCTCAGCTGCCATCAGCTCATGTCCCAGTGGGTCCTGCAGGATGGAAGATGATAGTCCAACAGAAGGTTGACCATCCACCTCTGTTCAAGGACCTCCCCCCAACCTCAGTTGCCTCTGAGGGAACTGGGACAAGTTTTGGCCCCGGGAGCTCCCACTGGCTTATTCCAAGTGCCCCTGACCTCCTCTACTCCACGGCAGGTCAGAGAAGCTTGGCATGATTATAGGAGGCAGGTGACCCAGTCCCTGGTCCCCACTGACCAGCAGTGTGGCCTTGGGTGCTACACATTACCTCTCTGGGCCTCACTTGCTTTTCTGTAGGGTGAAGGGGTTGAAACAGACAATCTTCAAGGTCCCTTTAGGTTTGGGGATGGGTCCTGTGCATCAGTGAGAGGCAGTTGGCGGGCTATGCACAAACTCAGATCCTTGGATGTGCACTGGGCATGGCCCTCCTGGCCTCTGCCTCCTGCAGTGTCTGCTGAGGCCAGGACTGCCCAGGAGTCTGCTGGGTTCATGTGTTCAGCCACCGCCTGCTAATGTGCTCGCCTGAGTATCATGCCAGCCTGGGTATCATGCCCCCCAGGTGTCGTGTCTGCCTAGGGACCCCACACAGCCACATTTCAAGGACTCAATAGCCCTATGTTTCCAACACAGAAATACCTTCCCCACAGAACATTCTCTTGGGCAGCTGCTCTGAGTCTGGCCCAGCGTCTGTCCACTGACCTCATCTAACCCAGAGTGTGTCCATTACATTTGCAACTTCAGGTTCGTCACATTGAGGCGAGAGCCTGGTGGAAAAGGGGAAGTGAGAAGTTGAGTGGGGAGCCTCTCTCTCGTTTGAGGATTTGCAGCTGTGATCAATGTCTCCATGAAAGGGCTCTGACTCCACGGAGCCCAGGGAAGGTCCAAGAAGCAGAGCAAAGAGCAGCGTGATGCTGTGTGAGCCAGCAGGGCCTCAAGTGGAGTTGGAGGAATGGATGAGCTCCTCTCTCTAGTAACTTTCTTGCTGTTGTTTGTTTCTCTAAAGATTGGATTGTCAACAGAAGATATGACTCGAGCAGTGAGGATGAAGACCCTCCAGGTAGGAGCATCACTCAGGTTGGACCCAATGGGAGAGGGATCCCGGAGCAGTCGGCTTACACCTGCTGCTTTGTGGACTGAGGAAGGAAGCACGAAATCAGAGAGAAAAAGGAAATATGAAGGCTTGTTTTGTTTTCTCCCATATTTTAACAACATAATAGTAAGAGGCATCATGACTATGGGCTTTAAGTGTAAATATGTTTATAATCATCTTTGCCTTTATAATCTGCTTTTCTGTTGAAGAAAATCATTTCCAGAAGACCAGTTCTTGCTGCCTTTGCCACAGCAAACATCAAGCCTTTGGTCCGACTGGTTAGCACCTCTCGAGAACCGAGCATGGGAGTTATGGGGATGGGTTTCGGCGTGCACTTAGGCCGCAGGCTCTCTGCTGGAACACAGCTCTCTCACATGCAGTTGAACCTGGAAACGACGCTCTCCGTGTGCATCAGGCGGAGAGAAGCAACCTCCCCCTCTGCGCTCTCAGGCTGGTAGCGGCACCTGCATGTTCTGCCCTCAGCTTCACTCCTGCTTACAGTGCCCTCCCAGGGCTAAAGGATGGAGAGGACTTTTCCTCTGCATTTCCTGCACATGCTCCCAGATCCTTCTGGAGAAGTGGGGGGGAAGCACATCCTGGGGCACATTTCTAGCCTCCACTCCTCACTCACATCCCAAATCCTGGGCTAGGAATAAAACCTGCAGTGGCTTCCGTGTGAGAGAGGCCCGTGTCCAGCTGCCCTGGGCACCCTCCATGGCCGGCGGGAATTCTAGAGGACAGCAGGAAGGGCTGGGGCCCCTCACAGCACTGGTTCTCGGGCTAAGTCCTAGAGACTTTCCATAGACACATAAAAATCAAACAGAACACTACAGTTTGAAGGAAATTCACTGCAATGCTAACTTGGGATATGCTAAGGAATGACAATTATAAGTTACTTACATTTCTTTGTATTTTCCAATTTTGTTAAGAAATAAAGCGAACATAACTTGTACTATACTTTAAAAAGCAGTGTCTTCTGGGACCTTTTCTTGCTGGAATATACTAAAGCCTTACAATTTATGATTTTATTATTAAAGTATAAGGATTTTCTTTTACTTGAAAGGCACAGGCAAAGTTTGATGAAGGTGTTAGAAAGAAAAAGGAGGGGTAGGCCCCATGGCCGAGTGGTTAAGTTCGCGTGCTCTGCTTCGGCAGCCCAGTATTTTGCCAGTTCGGATCCTGTACGCGGACATGGCACTGCTCAGTGGGCCATGTTGATGCGGCATTCCACATGCCACAACTAGAAGGACCCACAACTCAATATACAACTATATACTGGGGGGATTTTGTGGGAAAAAAGCAGGGGGAAAAAAAGAAGATTGGCAACAGTTGTTAGCTCAGGTGCCAATCTTTAAAAAAAATTTTTTAAAAAGAAAAAGGATTTTTAGGGGCAAAGGGGTGAGCTCTAGGTCTCACCCATTTTCACTGTGCAGGTCTCAGGACGGGTCCTACTGAGTGTGGGTGGGGGGCCGGGGTCCCCACGCCCACCCTGGTGGTCAGACCTTCTGCTCCTCACAGAGCCCAGCGGGAGGGACTCAGTTTTTATCCCTGAGTTACTCACAACATTTTTCCCAGGTGGAGACTTGCACAGAGGAACTGGCCTGCCTTCCCCTGGGACAGCGGGAAAGCTGTCCTTGCCCACTATTCTAGACTTTAAGAGTCTCCTGTGTTGGATGGACCTTGTGTTGCAACATCTCGCTTAGCTGGGTCCAAATTCCCACCTCCTGTCCCCGAATGTGCTTCAGGAACCCAAGGAAGCATGGAGCTATCCTGCTCTGCCCCCAGGCTCTGCTCAAGGTCAGGCCAGCAGCGCCTGAGGGGTTAATGCTCCACACTCAGCCCCCAGGGCCCGGTGTCTCCCTGGATTGACTGACAGCGACTCTTTAAATTATGTAAGAGGATATCGTGCGTCTCCATGTTCCTATGTGACCGTGAAATACAGGTTCTTCACTGTGGGAAACAGGACTCTCAAATCTCTTCTTAAATAATATCTGATTGTTACAATTTTTGCATTTGAAAGTCCTTAGAATTCTGAAATTCTAGCGAATATCTGTGGACCTGAAGGAAAACTGAGTTCACTCTATCCGTGGGGCAAGGTCATGATTGAGAAATGAGGATCAATAAATGACTAAAAAACCCTAGCTTTCAGTCGACCATCTGTGCAGGGAGAGAACCACAGTGGGGTGCAGCAATGTGTGCAGAAAGTCAGAGAGAGAAGGAGTGGTGAGAACACTGAACTCGAGAACAGCGCTGGCCTTTAGACAACAGCATTCCGTGTCGACAGCACCCACGGGGTCAGTGTGAACCGTGATAAGCAGGTGCAGTGGACTCTTAGGAAAAAGCTCCGTGATCTAATGCTGGTGAAAAGTAATCGAACCTGAAGAGGGGGTCGTGGGCACCTCAATTTGTAGCCAAATCAGGCAGGAGTTGTGGGTAATGTGGGGACCCACTGCTGTGCCTGGCATCTGAAGTGGGATGGAAGCAGTCTTGTGGGACAGGGCTCTTAACCTGTGGGCTCCGACGCTGTCTCCGGGTAGACAGTGTCAGAATCGAGTTAAACCGTAGGACGCCCAGCTGGTGTCACAGAGAATTGCTTCGTGGGGGGAAAAACCTCCTACATTTGTTGACTAGAAGTGTCAGCAGTGAAGCGTCCGCTGTGAGGAGTAAAGGAGACACACGGTGGAGAAACG